ATTTGTCGTCCTTGTCAATGGATCATAATTTCTCAACGATATCAAGTAAAACTCGTAACTCTCCGAGGGTGTAAGTGCAAACCGAGTATCGGAAGTCAAAGTTTATTGCCGTCATCAATCACTATGCCGACAGCCAAAAGGAAAAGAATGTTAGGTGGGACGGAGGATGGTACAACAATAAAATCAATAAAACCTTCATTTTCACCCCATAGCTAAAAAAATATTGACATGGAATACTCATGCAAAGAGGCTATACACACAAATTATTTTTATATGAATTGGATATACCTTTGATATATTTTAAAAAACCGGGTACAGTCAATTGATAAGGAGCTTTGAGTAAAATTTCGGAAATTTACGAAATTACCTATATTTAGCATTTATAATAAAAATTCCTACGCTGTGTTATCTTATGTTAATTAATGCGTGATATCGTATGGAACTTGACGTTACCTTTGTATAAGGATCCCGTTATGGCGCAATGTATAATAATATTGGTAAATGCGAATTAACGTTATTTCAACGCTGTGGCGGCTTGTTAGCGAATTGCGACAGACGGAATGGCAATTTAGTGAGAGACGCGACATTCGCGACATCCGCGACATCCGCGACATCCGCTACCAATAATATCCCTCTCGTGTTACAGGTACAGTGACATTTATCATTGGATTTACGGGGTGTGTTGGCGCACTCAGGGAAAATACGTGCCTCCTAGCTGCAGTAAGTATCTGGGTACGGTGTGTTGTTAGCATGCACGGGGTATATAACGTGTACGCGTATGAATTAGGTCATACGCCGATATACATTGCTAGAGCGGCGTATGGTTGAATTGTGATAACTTTGTAATTTGAAAAATTATATTTTCACCTGCTTTTTAATTGATTAACATTCTTTTTTATGACTGGGTGACGTCACGGATTGCTGAAAGCTTTTGCATATAAAATCTAACTGTTTCAATGAAAGTTTCTGAAAGCTCCAAGAGTTGCGCGCGTTAATAATTAACGTTGCGAAAGGGTTGCCGGGTATATGTGTATGTATTCTTGAAATTACAAATGCTCCAAACTTATCTGTATCGTACAGTTATGAGCTTCTAAGTTTTGTTGACTGAAAGCTCAGGGAAGGTTAATGGGTTTAATTTTCACTCGGTACATTGTTTTTGAGAGACAGTTGTTTATTTCTTGTAATATCCACGAAAGTGCTTTTCAAATGGTGGTACTTTGGTTGCGCAATTATTTTTTCGTTATAAAATAATATTAATGAAGTCATTAATGTCCGACCAGCGCGGATTATCGTCGTCGTGTTAAAAACCAACATTTTTATTTATCGTGAGAGCTTGCATGCGGTTTTTCTGATTAGCTGTAATAAAGGTTTACATGAAATTAATTATAAAGCTCTGTGGAATAATGCTTTTAATTGGATAATACTCTGTTATCTTTTATATATTTTTGGTTCTTTTACCAGGAAAGCTCGGTATTACTGTTCTATGGGAAGCTTTGTTTTCCGTGAAAAAAGTCAAAAGCTCGCATTGCTGAAATTGTAGATGACATAACATAAACTCTTGGTGTAATTAAAGAATTGGGAATAAATTGTTAAGTGCCTTTATTGTACAGCTTTTCCCATTAAGTTTATTATTATGTTTATGAATTATAATACCCAATTATTTTTTTTTCTTTTCGAATAAGTATTTCGGAAAAAAAGTCTCTCTAAGTTCTTTTTAACTGTCTTTTAATCGGCTTTAAGCACGTTTCTCGTGCTTTGCTTATCCGTTGGTACCGATGCTTGCGAGCTTTCGAGATAGCATTAAAAAGTATGCCGAGTATTCGGCAATGACGTTCGCATTAGTTTTAACGTTGAAATGAAGTATAACCTGTCTTTTGAATATTTCACTTTTGCGTATGACGATAAAAGTGTAAAAAGCTGCAGACACGTGTACGACAAGTTCACGTTAGAACTTAACAAAGGCATTGATTAGAAAATTGATTGAAATTTTACTCAAGGATAATTATATCAAGGATAACTAAGCTTTTACGTTGTGCAGGAATATAAATATTTTTAATTATTATAAAAAATAATTTTTTTTATTAGTACGCGATATTCCTGGCGTTGCTACTCTTATTTGAGATGACAGCAGGTGTTTTGGGTTTCATCTTTAAAGACTGGGTAAGTTAATTTTTAATTACCTTACGCCATATTACATCGAATAATCTATATCCCGTGACTCAAATGGACTTATGCTATCAAATCGTTTCTCAAAATAATCTCTACCGCCTCTTTGCTCGCACAATGAAATTCAGTATGTAAATTTAAAGAGACACGCGGTGCTTGAAATTGATGGGAAGATTCAAACGTAAATATATTCCACATGAAAACGCACTTATCTGTCAACGCGTAAGAAACTGTAATGTAAAAAGCAGCTCGAAACGATATATTTTTCACGCGATAAATAAACAGATCGGTGGGTTTGAGATTTTGTACTATTCCGAAATTCCTCGAGTTTGAATACGACTGCTCGTAGTAAGAGCTCGGCACCCCTGAAATACATGACCGAATTATAAAAGCAAATAACCCGAATGCATTATGCCCTATTTGCCATTCCATATTTAACAGCATCATCATGAAACTGGAAGTGAATTGTATTTTCAAACTTCGTTCAAACAGTTCGCAGCGTCGTGAAAAATGAAAATGAAATTCAAAAATTAATACAAAAATAATCGCTCGAACGACTTTTGCTATCTTATAGATACACACGACCCTTATACGACTATTGGAAAATTGATCTTATAGGTATTAAAATTTTTCCACTTTCTAAACTAGCTCGTTATAATTATCTCACTTAAGTATACCCCCCAAGTAGCGAAGCTCTGCGTTACGTCGACTTATTGATCGCGTCTTTGGAAACTAATGGTGACTTTCGAATTACGGAAAAAAACTTAGTAACTTCATCGGGCATACGGTAGTTATCGTAGGATCGCGACAAAAGTTCACAAACCAGCAGTAATAAGTATGGTTGGTTTAAAAAAAAATTGTTATCCTTATTATCAGCTTGTTTAAAAGCTCCCCGAAGATTTTCTTTTTTTTTAGTGCTTCGTCTTCTTTTTCGCAGATCCGTGAACCTTATTATTATTATTGTTGATTATGTAAAACGATAATAAATTTGTTTCGCAGATAAAGTCACAGGCAACAGGGGGCTTCCAAGCGTTTATCATTCATTATCGTGAAGATCCAGATCAGCAGAATCTCATCGACTGGATTCAAGAAGATTGGGTAATGATTTGAGCAAAGAAAATATTATTTTTGAAAATATATTCGAGTGTCACGATATAAGCGATGATTTGATAAATTATGTATACTATACTCAAAAAATTTATATTTAATCTTCATGGACCAAATTTGGACTAATGGTACCATACCGTTTGTTAATTAATGGTTAACCTTCCAATTGTGGTTTGAGAGATTCGATAGAGTTTCCGGTTTACCACCGTCAGTTCTATATGCATACATATATAGTAAACTACCAACTTTGAATCTACGAGCAGAGAGTAACATTGGTTATTGATTCGGGGAAATTTGAGCTATAAATTATCGTCGAATAGTCTAATCAATTTTAACCGTTCCGTATACAGTAGACTCTCGTTAAGCGAACGTTTTTCGGAACGTAGGTAAAGGCAATTTGAAAAAAAAAAAATCACTTAACGGGAGCCCCCTTCTACTATGACAGTTATCAGAATTCATCGCTCTTTACTTCTTTCCAAGCACTCAGTTTTTCCGCGCTCGTACAGCGATAAGGTCGGTAGCTGATAACAGGGATCCGAATGTCCCAAAGTGCAAAAATCGCGAGCTGCCGAAGGGGAAGCATTCGCTTAACGGGAGTCTACTGTATGCAGCAGGAATGGATGCATGAATTATGTAAATATTAATTTTTTGATATGAGTACATTTAGTGTATTTTTTTATCAATCGAAATTAAATTTCAAAAACGTAAAGTTACTTAAAAAATATATTTTTCTTCTATATAATATTATACTGTATAACTCAATCCTATGCATTGAAATCGGTTCGTGTATCGTAACGATAAAATGGCATTTTACGAGCCTGATATATGGTAATTCAAAATAGTCATAAAAAAAAACATAAAATTAAATTACGGAACGTGAAGAATATTCAAAAACATTAAATGACAACGGATGAAAACCAGAGAGAATAATAACGCGTATAATATATTAAATGCCTGCAGGGATAATTATTTATACGTTCGATCTGTTTCGAAATTTTGTACTCAGAATTTCGGTATTGTGTGGTGGTTCATATTAAAAAAAAAAATTGAAAAAATCAAAATTCATATCGTACCATTATCGTACGAGTACGGGTTATAATTGGCAGAATTGAAGAGACCCTATTAAATATTACGTGAAACGAATAAAAACATATCTTGGAGCTGAATGAAACTTTCGAGATCTTCACTGTACCATACAAAAATGTGCCTCTCTGCTTGAACTCAAAAACCATTAATACTTTTTTTCATCCCCCTTATCGTCCTTCATACCCGTCACTATATTTTCTTCTTCCATAGTTGCTCTTTCTGCGTAACCATTCTCCACCCCTTCCATCCCCTATATTTCTTCACCTCTCCTCATTTCATTCCAACCCCTCTTACGTCCCATCCACATGCAGCGACTCTACCTCTAAATCGCGTATTTAATATTGCACCGTCACAATTCCGCTTGCGGAATTATTTATGGCTGGCGTTTGAAATTCGTACGCGCTATAGACATACATTTCCACGAATCCGATAGTTCCAATACGTAGGCGTTTTCCGCCTCATTGCATATTGTATATCGTATCAAATCTACAGCGTGTCGGTATACCCATATACGTATACAGGCCCATTTTAAACGGAATCGAAATTGAATTGTCACCTCGATCTGTGCTACATATTTATATACAGATAAAAGCTTGTGTCCTGTATACATATGATTAACGTTAATTTCCAGTTACAATGTTGCGGTATCGAAGGCCCCAAGGATTGGGACCGCAACAATTACTTCAATTGTTCCTCCAGCGAAATTGGCTCGAGGGAAGCTTGCGGCGTGCCTTTTAGCTGTTGCAAACGAAAGCCTAACGTAGGTACCTTAGAAATTATATAATGAAACTTAGGGCTCGGCTTTTCGAGAGTTTATAAATTCATTTATTAGTTTCACAATCGACTTTGTCCTCTACCGCCTTTACATCCGCCACATCCGTTCGAAGGATCTAAAAGTTCCGACGCCCACCGCCAGACGGCAGTGCTCGACAATCTTGAGAATTCTATCCAGCATCCAATTAAGGTATCGTTTGCCTGTTTCAGGAAATTATCAAGAATAAACAGTGTGGCTATGACGTCAGGAAACCCGGCTATGTGAGTATACTTGATTCACGTTGCATATCTCATTACCCCAGAAGTCTCTGGTAGATTTCACTCAATTTCCCTCAATTACGTACGAGCATTGATTACGCGTTGAACATTGATATTAATTATTCGTTATATAATTTTTTTTAATTTATTATTATTATTCTTCGAATACCCTTTGCCAGGATTTAATTATCGATATTTATAGACTGTCCAATACAATTGTTTGCCTTAAGATGCATCCGAGCAAAAATGGATATAATTACGGAAAAGTTACGTAGTGAGTTAATTAAAATGTCCATGGGAGGAAGGAAAGGGGTGGATGGTAGTAAAGATCCATATAGATTAGACAAAACGGGAAACTTAATTAGCGAGAAAGTGATAGAGGGATAAGGAGTCCTTCGCAGCATCCCATTTTACACGCTCTTCGTTACTGTCGCTCGTTTTCCGAGAAATATAGATTTTTCGTAAATTACACTATCGTCCAATATTGCGTGGTGGGTCATCATTCTTCTTTCTTTTCGTCCCTTTGAATTTTTTTTCTTTTTCTCTCTTTTTTTTTTCTTTTCCGTGTTTCTCACGCGAAACGTGCCTAGGCCTATCGCGTCACGCGAAACTTAAGAAATATCCGGTCTGCAGACGGATTGTTGACTTCCCGTTATATAACAGCTTCGTGTATACTTAAGATAACGCGGACGCGCGAATCTGTAATTATCGGTAACTGTGCTGGAGGAAGTGGAAACGATAACGCCTGAACTGCCCCCGCGTATTTTACGTTCAACCAACTAAACTTTAAGTACCGATGTGTGTGTATATATATATATATATATATATATATATATGTACAGACGTAAAGGTTGCTTTCCATCTTCCCAATGCCTTTGGGAAAATTTGCATCTTATCTCCCAAGTTCGAGCGAGTTTTAATAACCCAGACAGACATATAGACACCCGCGTCTGCCATACAGAGGCACTCGTTCCATTTCCCACAGGTAATCAGTAAGACTGATCGATTATCAAATGTTCTCATTAGTAACCTCAATCCTACGAACAACGTTGATCAGGTTTTTCGATTAACAAAGTAAATTAAAAAAAAAAAAACATCTTGAAATCTCCGAATATTTTCAATATTTAATTAGCTCCACCTATTTACTTGTTTTTCTCTCAGAATCTCCCCACTCTCTCCCTCGCGTTTAAAAAAATTTTATTTCTTACCAAATATCTTGAACGACTTCGCTTCTTTATATTATCATTTTCTCCATATCGTCAGATACCCTTAAAGCTCTTATCCAACACGACGACCCTCGCGTCTCCACCCAGCCCAACACAAGGAAACTTCCGTTTCGAGTAAAATTTTCACGTTTTCCTTTGACGTACTTATTTCAGAGTCAATAATTTTGCGACCCGCCCCTTTGCCGCCTTATTTTACATCCTCAATTTTGTTTATATCTCCAATCACCATCCACAGACTTTCTTTATGTATTTTCTGTATTTATTCTTCGGTCGAAGGAGCGACCTTCCACGAATCTTCTTCACGCTTCTCTAACGTCCTTGTATTTGTTTCCTGGGAAATGCAGCCGGGCGAAAGGAGTATATTTGAAAGGGGTTGCCTGAGGGCGGGTGAGGAGTGGCTAGAGTTGAACCTTGTGCCCGTAGCAGGTACCATTGTGAGCACTATGGTTCTCCAGGTACCAGACCACGTCATCTCGTAGATTTGGTTTTTTTGAAAATTGAAAAATTCCCGCTGCTCGCAAGTTTTAAGAACGATACTTATGCTTTATGTAAAATCTTGTTTATGCCAATTATAATAATGATAATTTGGAGATGAAAAAAAATGACATTTAATATTGGAAAACTTGGACCTCGTACATTGAGTTGGGTCTGTTTTAGTTTCTTAAACAATGAATCTCTTCTTGACTCTAGCCCGAAGGAACTGTACGAAGTCCTTTTCGATTGCTATACCGTGACGTAAATTTGCTTAAGGAAATTGAACCGAACAATCTCTGGATCTTGAAGCAGAGCAACGTAATATCGCGGACATAATGGAATATCTTAAAAGCGTCTGAGGATACTTAACGGGAGGGTAGTTCGAGTAGGTAAAGTAAGTAAAGTGCCATCTAGTCGGGCAGAAAAATAATAATGAAACGTTCCGAGAGCAGCGGGAAAGTTTGAATTTTTACTTTACGTCCATTATGATACTATATGTTGCATGTTAAATCGTACCTCGATGTTTAAGTTTTGGCTTGACGTCTCGTAGAGCTTCTTAGTATCGTTCAAGGGATACTATATCAGTATTGCTTCACTTATCCGTGTGCTTATCGGTACCTATTCGTTTACGTATTTTTCTGTGTTTTCTTTTTATTGCCTTCAGACACGGATTCTTGTTTTAGAAAAAAAAAAAAAAACATTAATTTTATTAGAAGCGAATTTAATTGGCACGCTATCGGTAGGCTATATAGTTATCTGCTGTTTGGTAGATCTAATAGGATATTCAAGATGGCCGTTTAAGCGATAAATTACCACGAAGAATATTATCCGATAAATGGTAACTTATCGTTATCAGACTCTCACGAGGGATATAGAGTTTACTAGGTAAGTAAGAATTATTTAGAATATCACGGCGATCCACATTTTTGGACTTAATCAAAGACAATGGGGTTGAAGGTTGACAGTGGGCCAATGAGTGACACTTAAGTTTTCATTTTATGAAAATTGCTAAAACTTTTAAGATTCTCCAGGAATCCTTTGTGTATCATATTTTAGGTAATATATGCAAAATGGTATTGTTTTTTTATTAATTATAATTTTTTATCCAATTTTTATACGGGTAATAGACACATTATGATATTAGTTAATATCATTACGTAATTTTACTGTATGGATAAATGCGATTTGTAAATAATACAATTTGGATTATTACAGTCCTAACGGAAGTACGATATTGTGTGTGAAATATGAATTATCTGGTACATTTACCATTGAATTCCCTCGGTGAACAGTTATTGCAATTGAATTTGTTTATATGTCAATTAAAATTCGAACGGGTAATATCGTTACTCTCGTTTCTAATTTCGATAAATATAAAGACAATTACGAAAAATGAGAGATTTGACAGTAAATTTACTTGGACATAAAAATAGGTATTTTTGTATAAAGTAAAAAAAATATATACAGTTCTATAGTTTAGCTGTCACGTTATCACTATAAAAATAAAATTAAGGAATCAAGGTCTCTTAATACGTACAGGTTTAAATATTCAAACGGGAAGGCTTCCAGTAATTTAATCAAAAAAAGGCCCCATCGGGACATCTCAGTGTCCTATATTCATTCGTGCTGCACGAAACTGTAATCTATTCGTCCATTAGAGAGGATTCCTCTTACACGTTTATCTGTTTTGTACTGACTCGATAATCAATAACATGCCATTAGAGAAAATGAGTATTTCCGATTTAAGAGCATAACGACGTAATCACACTCAATTTCACTTTGCTCGTGTTTTATTAAGCTCCGATAATTCATTCGGGTGAAAGATGAAAACTGACAAGTTTTTTTTTTTAATGAAAAATTTAATTGCCATTGTCGATATACACTTTTAACATCCATACTAGAATATAATTATAGTAATATTATTATTATTATGCACTTGAAAAAACTAGATGCGTAATATTTTTATTAAAAAAAAATGTTCTTCCTCGTGCATCGAAATAGAAGAAAAATCCGTACATAATACAAAATTCGCCAAAAAATATCCCTAGTCTCGATATCCTAGTGAAAAACTTTGAAACCCGCAAGCCGGTGGCCGGAGGCTTTAGTGAAGATTCATAAACTTTACAAATTACAGTTGTTCGAAAGTAAAGTATAGTTTCCAAGACTAAAAGTACGGAAGGGAAATGGCGAGATAACGGAGCGACTTCCTTCTCTCGTGCTGAAAAATATTCGTTCTACCGTTTATAAGACATTCACATAATTTGACGTCTTGCGTAAAGAGTCTCGGGCTAGACTGCTTAATTATCAATATACGTTCGAGGATAAGCGGTGAAAGAAATTAACCTAAAGTAATGACGTAATATTAGCGCGCGAGCTTTCGGAATAAGACCTCTGGCAATTTTACTTGTGTCAGGGTCCCTAGATGGAGGTTGGTATAACCTCATTTGGCTTCGCGATTGAATCCAAACTGATGCGTTTGCGAAGTTCCTGGGTCATGGACGCAAACGGCATACGTGAACGGATCGTAACCACGGACTAGCCTGACCCATAAGAGGGTTTCTGATTGAGGGTGCTAGTAATATAGCAAATATATATATATATATATATATATAGAAGAGACGACACAGACAGGTTTGTGAATAAGGGTGGTAAACCTACTGAGAATTCATGCATAGTACAACATACAGATTTATATACATATATAGTATACTGTCGGGTAACGAGGTACCCGGGACTAAGTCGCTTGTATAACGGGCATCTCGTGACTAAATCGTGTACTAAATTCCCTAGAGGGTTTCCACGTAAAACTTGAGCCACGACGCGGCGACAATCACCGTTTGCCAACCTCACGAAAGTAATACGATTACCAACGGGTTAACGTACATTACTCGAAATTTCTACCACGATTTGGTGTTTTCTCCCCTCGAATGGTATATTTATCCCAGCCACCGCGATACATTATACGTAGTTTGATTTGGAGTTTAAGCAGGTATACCAGTTCGGTATGGTAATTACGAAATTCAGTCCCACGTAACCAGACGATCATCCAACCGCGAATCGTTATTTAAATCTATCGAAAGTTTCTCGAAACGCAGGCAACTACTGGTATTAGCCGTGTGTGTTCCATGTTCGCTTAACGAAATTTCGAACTAATTAACGCGTGTAAGGCTCGCAGGTAATTAGCGTCGCGTTTAATATTACAGAACTGCGATAAGAGAGACTCCGCTTGGTACCTGCTTCGTGGTTGCTTCTGGACGGGTAACGGGAATATATGTATACACAAGTATGGGTATAACGAACCAACACGATTTTCCAACCATTTTATGGAAACACCTATGTTGTATTCGATGTAACGAAACGACCCTTGTTACTAACATAACGTAATTACGTTTACAAACCTTTCTCTCGCTCTTTCAAAGTTTCAGCCTCTCTCTCTCTCTCTCTCACACACCCTTTACCTTTGCAGCCTGTTACGTTTCAGAAACACGCTCGCGCTTCATAAATTAACCCGAACGCGATCGTGGCAAATACACTGAGTGTAATTCAGACCGAGTGGCACACGCGACCCAAAGGAGTCGAAATAGAAGCTAATAATATGTGTGTCGGGATCTCGTAAATAGGCTATACGGAAATTGCATTGTTTTTATCAAAACTGTTATATCCATCATATTGGTATCTACCATATATATGCTTGTTGACTGTAATCATTAAAATAGTTGTTTACGTTGAAATCTGTCGGAATTTTAAATTACTTTTTTTTTTAATTCTGGACTTCTGGACGAGCGCGATTGCTCATTGGAATATCGGTAAGCCAGCAGTCGATCGTCTTGTTTTTTTTTCAGAACTTTGACGTCACCAAAGTCATTTACGAAAAGGGATGCGTCCAGGCTGGCGAGGAATGGGTGGAGCGGAATCTCCTCGTTATTGCGAGTGGCGCAGTCGGAACGGCATTTGCTCAGGTATAGTTTGTCAAAGGGATAAAAACAAAGAACAATATAAGGATCAAGTTTTACAGTTTAGGATTGCAGTTTACGGTGTAAATTGAACTCGAAAGAATGTTGGATCGTAGTCGTAGTTTTGTTAGTCTATGAAAAATGATCGACGGTGATGCCTCCTGGTGACCTTTTTTTTTTTTTGAAATTTTATTAAGTACGTCGTAAGGTACAGAATTGTAAGGTTACACCTACTGGAAATAATCTTCGGCTAATGCAAAGGTGAGAATTTTTGAAATTTGATAGCAATCTTTCATTCAAAATGGCGCTTGTCATACGCTCGTAAAGTTTGTCAGTGCACATGGATGGCTCTTGATATATTTTTTTTTTCACCGTTGTTTATTACACTTATGCAACAATTTTGGACTGTATATATTTGCTTATATATTTTTTCGTTATATATATATCTTGTCATTCCTGTCATTTTTATTTAATTCCTAGTAATTATTATAATTTCGAATTTTTTGTTCGTTGTTACGGATCTTTGATTAACGTATGTATATAGTAGAACGTGGGTATCGCATGTTAACTTGAAATTTTTCTTTTAATTACAGATTCTCGGAATCTGCTTCGCGCAAAATCTGCGAGCGGATATTTTTGCGCAAAAGGCGAAATGGCATTGACAATCCAGAGCCCCCACGGCAGTCTAGCATCTTGCTCTCGCGGATGCTAATCGACCACGTTGATGCCAACGAGAACGTCGACATGAATATTCGCCTTAAGAAAGTCGCCCACTCAATGAAGCAAATGGAATTTTGACGATAATCCTTGGAAAATAACAAGAGTCATCGTCGATCTAACACCATACAAAGAAAGAAGTCAAATGGAGAAAGTGCAGAAAATCTTTAGATATTCATTAATAATAATACTATAAATACGTACAATATTAACACGAAATATTTTCTACCGTCCATTCGAGTCGTTTGCATCTAAACGCAAAATACCATAACTTTCAAAAATATTTTTTTTTTTTAATTGTTTTCACTGATTTCCAGCAGCATCTCTCCGTTTGACCTAGTTCGGCCACAAGCGTGAGTTTTGAACTCAAAAAATCGATGAGCGTCAAAGTACACTGACACTTGTGTCCAAATTTTCCAAATTACACGTATTTTATTCTGTTATCAGTTATCAGATAATTTATTGATAAATCCGTTCATCGACTGACAACTGATCGGAGTAAAATTACGTGGTATAATATATACATCCATAGGTATACTGTTCTGTGTATATATAATGCACAGAACAGGACGAGGTGGGTTGCGTAAAAGAAGCGATAACGTGTTGATGTCAAAGTTGAACGACGTGGCGTCGTGGGGGCGTGGAGAGAATGGCCAACTCCACCGCAGAATAAATTCGTACTCGGCTACGAACCAAAGGCCACTTCATACAAAACACACAATAAGATTTCCTTGCCCCAATGGGCTCTTAAATTGATCGTCCGGGTCACTCGGGCATATCGATCGTCGCTAGCGTGTTCACGTCCTCTGGATTGCGTCACTCGTCATACGTCACGCATTCAGGGTTGCCACTTTGGCAATTGCCGTTTGCGCGAGATCCCTTATTTCTTTGCTAGTAAACTTCCGCTAATCGCTGCCTGCGGCACAAGATAGACGTCGTTCAAGAACCTAAGATCCGTTTACAATGCTCCTCCATGAATGGATGCTGGGCTCTATTCGCGTATGTAATGACAAGGGGAGGATTTGTTGCATGAATATTATTATACTGCTGGGGAGTTTTTTTTTACCGAATGTTTTTTTTCTTTTTTTTTTTTCTTTTTTTTTTTATTGCGTTGCGATCTTGTGTTGGGAAGGATACTGCATCGTGTGGTAAAATCTAACGGGTGGCACGTGTTGATATGCACAGACATAAATGTATACGGTATACGCGCAAGACGTAATCCGTGGATTTGGCGCACGTGTGATTTGTATTCGGAATGGCGTTGGCGATGATGTGACAAGTGATATTAATTGTATTATTGTATTTTTAAGCGATATCGCTTCTATGACGTTTTTAATCTAGTTAATTAAGAATTGTAATGTCGCGCGATAATTGTCACGTAATCATTAACTTTTCCTCGTTGGGATTGGCTGGCCAAATACCACCATGTCCGTTTTTCTCCCTTATTGTTGATTATTCGTTGTCGACCTTACGGGTGGTTTTTGTCGGTCTGTTTATTAAAATGAAGATTTTTCTTTGTTAACTCTTTATCATGCGCTGGTTATTATGATACTGTGGTAATTCATGTAAATGGTACGTTGATTTTTGAGGGATAATAGTTTTTTTTTTTACCTTTCTTCAAAACGTCCGGGATCAAATTGTTTCGTCCGAGCGACATGTCCGACATATGTGGATACTTACGGATTAATTTAATCGAATTTATATTCACAGGAATTTTATAACGTTAATTAGTAATGTTAATTAGTTATAAATTTCCTGTTACGATTTCATTTCCTAACAATGTGATTGTACATTTGTCATTACACAGAGTAAGTTTGGCAAGTGCTGGTACCATTGCCAAAAATATGTAAAATTTTCGTTATGGAATTTTCGTCACGAAACATTAATAGAAATTGAAATAATATTGTCTCTCGATTTCGCATTCAGTAGTCGAAATATCACTTAATGAAAATTTGCTAAATTTTTTAAAGAAGCATTTGCTAAAATTAAACTGTTATAATATTTACGACATTCCGTTATCTCTCTATGTTGCTTCGTTATATTAAGTTTGTCAGCCTGATCCGATATCCTGATAGAGAAATAATTACGCTGTATAAATCCTCGATACAAAAACAAAATGGATATGCGGATCACGTGACAAAAAAAAAATGAGTTTTCTTTATGAAATTGACGCAACAATTCCGCGTTGCCTCGTAGTCACCGAAAAGAAAGGCTGAAAAGTTAACTCATTTTATGACTACCCGATATATTTCCGTTTTTTTTTTTTTTTTTTTTTTTTTTTTAATACTTTATCATTTGCACAGTTGATTGCACTTCGTTGCACAGATGAATTATTGACAATAAGTTATATATCCTATTTACTGAATTATCGTGACTGCGATTATCGCCTTGATATTCAGTCATCAAACGTCATTATTTAGGTTGCTATTCACGTATCAATTGCCAATTGTCAATGCGATCCGTTCAATTGTTCTTGCTGATAAGAATTCTTGACGACTAGTAAAAGCAATGTCTGCTGAATAATTACTATCTTATTTTTCTTTTAATATGAAATAAACCATTGTAACTGCTAGACGTAATTCCTATCAGGGAATTACTTATCTATTGTTCCCGACTATGAGATTCGTATTGTCCTATACGATGAACTAAAGACTTATTTAGAAATATCATAATTTGGAATTCCTAGCGATCACGTGGAAACGAGAAGAATGCGTTTATCGTGAATATTTTTATTTACGAACGAATTCTTGCCCAAAATGTTCTTTATCACTTTTTGAGAAAAGAAGGGGCAAGTAGTGATGTGTATACTCGCGATTAAATTTTAGATATTCAAGCAGAACGTCTATGACTAAAATTAATTTAATCAGCGAGGTAATCATTTTTTTTTTCTATTACTATTTTCAATATTCCCTTGCGTACTCTGTAATAAAAGTATGATTTTTTTACTATGTTGCATTTATTTTTTATTATTCACCAAAACAACAGACATTTTGTGTAACGACGAAACTGCATGCTTATTTTCTCATAACAGTAAATTGGGTTATTATAAATTATTGCGAGGATCTGTATTCCCTGTAGAGTCAAACCAAGTTGCATCCCTTAGAGAGAAATTGTTCAATACAATCGCCAAAATAATCCTAAGGATCATAAGAATTAGGGGTAGAGTGAATAGTATTTTTTAAAAGCTATCCGTCAGTCAATCTGAATTTCATTTTATAATGTACCACAAATGGTCATAGTATTACAAGTCATGATTATTTCAATAATCAATACCAAACGAGTAATTAAGAAAATACAAAGAGAAAGACTATACCTAAAAGCGAGGGTTGCAAAATTCATAAAAGGAAACATTGATAAACCAGTACATACTGTACACTTAAGAAGCGATAGATTAATTTTAAAAAGTCCCTACAGAGAATATAAACTAATAATAGAGCATAAGTGATTTTCCTTGAAACTGTTTATTAATAATTATAATCCACTTTTCGCGAAACGCAGCAATGTCCGTTGAAATATATATATATATATATATATATATATATATAAATATATACAGTTCTTATATATTAATGTAAATATTGTACATCCATTTGTAAAGAGAAAATGAGAGATTATTTAATCGTATGCTTGACCAATATACATAGAATAAATAAGATAAGGATGTATCATAAAATTCTTATGTATTACTGATAATCGATTTATTAAATCGATAATATTAATGTGTGCATAAAAACTGAACAGAGATTTATATTATATGGGTTTTTTTTGGTGCAGGCGCCATTCCAGTTACGATAACGTATTCGATCGAGTTAAGATTTTGGCGCTCTTTTTTTTTTATTGGCAATGAGAAAATAATTTTAAAAAAAAATTACTGGAGTCATGTAAATTATTGTGCCAAACGAACAAGCTAAATCGATGTAACAATTTCACGTGAGAGTACCGTTAATTTCTCAGAGTGATTTATGAACATTCGAACAATTCATTTTTCTATCAGATTAGGTTTCCCATATGAAATCAGATAATAACAGAATTTCTACCTGAATCGTTGCATAACTTCTCGTGTGTGAAACTCAATATTACTTTAAAATGTTATATTTTACAAGAATGACTAGTTATCGCAAAATTTTTAATGCAA